GTGCTTTTGGGTACCAATTTTACCCCGATAAAGCTGTTTACAAAAGAATCACAACAAATATCTGAATTTATGTTCCTGTCTAACTAAATGTATTAGGCTTTGGTATATGATTACCTAACCAAACATATTATAAGTTAGTAATCTATGATCATTTTTTGTGACATAGTTGTATTAAAATATAAATTACGGCAGCATGATAGAAATATAAAAGCACAGGCTTCAGAGTCGCTCAATAAGAGTTCAAACCCTGGATCCAATACCTTCTTCTGCATGAGAAACAGAAGAGCTAGGTGCTTAAGAGTGTAGGTCCTTGAGGAGGCAACCTGGATTTAGGCCGACCATTTACCTGAGACTGTTATGCTGTGAGCACTGAAAATCCTGTGTCCTAGGAAACCCCTCAGTCTTGAGCAAACCAGGATAGTTGGTCATTCTACCTATGCATCCCACTCCTTTTGTTTTTTTTAGAATTAAAACAGAGTTTCACTCTTGTCACCCAGGCTGGAGTGCAGTGGCACCATCTCGGCTCACTGCAACCCTCCGCCTTCCAGGTTCAAGCGATTCTCCTGCCTCAGCCTCCTGAGTAGCTGGGATTACAGGTGCGTGTCACCACACCCGGCTAATTTTTTGTATTTTAGTAGAGATGGGGATTCTCCATGTTGGACAGGCTGGTCTCGAACTCCTGACCCCACATGATCCACCCACCTTGGCCTCCCAAAGTGCTGGGATTACAGGCGTGAGCCACTGTGCCCAGCGCCCATTCCTAACATTCACTCACTATGTGGCCTTGGCCAGGTTACTCAACCTCTCTGTGTTTCAGCGAACTCATCTGTCAAATGCCATCGATAACAATCGTACCAACTTTAGTTGGGTGGGTATAAGAAATAATAAATACACATAAAGTTCCTAGAGCATGCCTGGGACATAATAAACAGCAAGTGTAAGCCAGTGGCTATCAAAACTTAAACTTGCACAATTTTAGATTTCTAATTGGAAATGGAGATAATATTTACTTCATAGAGTGAGACTTAAATTAAGTGAGATTATTATACAACTTGCTTTTCTAATGTCTGAATATAAAAACATGTATAATTTATTCAACAAACATTTAATATACATATGTAAAAGCATTTTGTGCATGCTAATGAGTTATAAAAATATTATTAATGCATTTCAGGAAAGACAAATGGATCTTCACTACTTAAATATCTGCTTAGCTATGAGATAAATGTAGACTATATCCAGGCCATATACTGTGGAATAGGTTTAGCAGTAAATACATTGTCTCCCACAAAGAAAGGCTAAAATGAGCTCTGAAATAATACATTTTTCTAGACTATAAAACTCCTAAGGGCACTTTATTAAATCTAATGCCTAGGAAATATTGACTATACTTTTTGTGCTCATGGGAGGAAGGTATAAAGTCTAGCCTTAAATGTAAAATGAAGAAGCTGCCCATCAGCCTGTCTCCTGGATTCTCATCGGAAATCTGGCTAACATTCACTTCTTCTGAGAAAACTGCTAGTGTCATGAGGTTCAGAAAACACCCTCCAATTTGATAAATTTTCAGCACAGTTACAAGTTGATAGAATTATAGAAGTTATAGGTGCCCTCTGTATGCCACCCTACACACACCACACTCCTAATCCTTTCTCAGAAAGGATTTCACAGTTCTGGGAAATAGCTGTGGTTTACAAATATGAGGAAGCAAATTAGGTTAAAGGAACAGAGGAGGAAAGAAAGAGAGAAGAAAGGCAAAAAAAAAAAAAAATTGGTCTCTGGACACAGAAAGCTAAAGGAGGAGTAGGCCTCACTGTGTTCTAAGCCCTACAATGGCCTTGAATGAGCCCTCTTAGCCCTCTAGCCTCCAGCTTTCTCATCTAGTGGGTTTGATGGGATCCCTAGGATCTCCTGAAGCCCTATAAGTATTTTCTTAAAACTCCTTAGTCACTAAGATTCTGCATATAAAACATTAGCTAACAATTCTTGCAAGCATTTTTGGCTTTCTTTGTGAATTTTTAAAGGATAGTGCAGGTAATCTGATGCTATGCGTACATGTGAAAACTCACTTGAAAAGTAAAACTTTATGGACATTTCAAATGGAAAATATTTATCCATATATTTTACTTGCAATAGTAAAGTACATGATGCCAGCTGTGTTCTCTAGAAATCAGACTCTGAATTGGAGTTTAGCTTGCAGGATGTTTATTAATAACTGCTTGTTAGACTCAACAACATGAATGGGATGGGGAAGAAGCAGGACTGGCTGAAGAAAAGCTGAGCTTCAAGGCAGGCCCCACCACCACCTTAGTCAACCTAACAGAACCCAGAAGATGGCTAGACCTTTATACCCCAACCTTTATCAGCTATGAAAGTAGGCTGTCCTAAGGGATGAATAGTATAACTTTGGATAAAGAGGCAGCAGCTGGCAAGTGCTTCCTTTGTTTTTAAAAATTTACTTATTATACTTTAAGTTCTGGGGTACATGTGAAGATCATGCAGATTTGTTACATAGGTATACACGTGCCATGGTGGTGGTTTGCTATATCCATCGCCCAGTCATCTACATTAGGTATTTCTCCTAATGCTATCCCTCCCCAATACCCCCACTCCCTGCTATTGCTCCCCTAGCCCCCCACCCCCCAGGTCTTGATGTGTGATGTTCCCCTCCCTGTGTCCATGGGTTCTCATTGATCAACACCCACTTGTGAGTGGGAGCACGTGGTGTTTGGTTTTCTGTTCTTATGTCAGTTTGAGGGGTATCTGGATGGCACATCACCTTGTCTACCACAACACATGAGTGTTAATAATCTATAAGTAAACATTCCCAGAAAACACATCAAATGTTATAGAACTATATTTTATGTTCTATTCTTGACATGAGAGGATTAAAATAAAATTTTGCTTGGCAATTTATCCAAATTAACAAATAACCAAATAATAATCAACCCGTTTAAGATATTTTTGAAGGTCAAAAGTAGTATTTTAATAGCATCTACTCATTAACTTTGTAAACTGTCATTTAATTATATATTTACGTGCGTATAATAAACATTTTCTACCTCTGTTCACAGTCTTTAAACATGAACAAATTATTCTTTTTCAGAGGGAGGAATAAAGGAAAAGAAATCTTCTCTTTTCTCTTCATTCTGAAACACTAAAATGAATAATTTAGATTCCCAGATTCCATTTTCTAATCTTTTCCCCAAAATAGAAATGTTCACTCTATGGAGCAGAGTTTGAATTTGCTTCTCTCATATACTGACCCAATAATCATGAGGTTGTTATTATTTTCCCTGTTTTAAGGTGAGGTCAAGTGACTTGTCACAAATTCTAAGACTTGGTATTCAAATACGTAGTCTATTACAAATTTCAATACTTATTTTGTTTTCTCTCAAATTTATTTTTTTAAAGAGACTTCGGGATTCAAAAAGTTGTTCCAAAAGCAAAAAAAAAAAAACCAAAAAACAAAACAAACAAACAAACAAAAAAAAGGTATATTTTAGAAGAAAATTTAACTTTTAAAAACAGAAAAGTTATTATTTCTTTGTACCCACCCAAGTGGTGATCCAGTTTTTTATATTTCCATTGGAAATTTTCAGTGTCTAGGCTCCCCAGTCTGCTTAAGGCTGTTCTTTTCTCAGTTTGGGCCTTCCTGTGCAATTTCTTTATTCTCATTTGATGGCACCTCGTCCTCTTGTTGTTTTTCCCCTCCTCGTTTTTCAGTCCGTCCTTTGTATGTCCATGACAGGAGCAGCATTTGTTTCCATAGTAATGATGATGCTCCTTTACGGATCTCCAACACCTCGATGCTCTAACACAGCCATGCATGATACCCTCCCTTTCATCACTTTCAGTCAGACAGGAAAAAACTGAAGGGATTCTTTTTAACAAAGGCATGTCTCAGAACAGAATCAATGTTACATGTTTTCTTGGCCCTGTTGAGTATGCTGTATATCTGAAGGCATTGCTTTTAAAGTATAGCATGGCTTTGCAATTCAAGGTTAACATTCTTCTCAGAGTCTATAGGGCATTGGGAATCTCATATATTAGCAGGTAAATTTAAATAAAATACTTCATGTATGTAGGTATGTGTGTGCATATATATAAAATCACTAAGTATACATGGAGAAATCAACACTGTCCATTATACTTTCTTAGAATTAGTTTCTAACAAAGTTGAGCAAAGAGGTCACTGCTTTGTTTTCCAAATGTTCCAAATTCTATTTCTGCTAAATGATGTCATTAATGTCATGGTTACAACAATACTGCACAGAGCCTCCTTCCTGCCACTGGCTACCGATACAATAGATGATTTAAGCAGCTGAGTCATTAGTAAAAACAACAGATTTTCTACTGATACTCAATTGAACATATATTTCCAACTGAACATAGAATTCATGGAAACAAATTTTAAAGTTTCTTTGTATAATACAGGCAACAGTGTATATCCTGTATTCTTTAATTTGTTGTGGACATATCTGTCTCCATAAATCTGTATGATGAATCTCTGAATCAAAGAAATCTAGGTAAAAGGGACTTTTTGTTGCCTATTCCCCCAAATACTTTCTTTTCAAATTATTCTTCTAGAAATAGTTTAAAATATATTATTTATTTATGTGGAGTTTTCACACCACTTTAATTCTCAGCAGTTATGTGGGAAACGTAAATATATAATCTATAAAGCAAAAGGTAACCCAGGTTCCAATTTGTGTTTGTACAAAATTAAAGTAAAAGGTATTTTGAGGATGTAGCAGTGATTGAAATGCTGAGATTAGGTTCCTAGTGTCACTGGTATCCAGCCCCACCTTGCTGCCTTCCATATATATACATTCAGGAAGCCCCATGCTACACTGCAAGTGAGCATATCACTTCATTTCCTGCTCTATTCTCTTGAAGAATTATTTAGGAAACCCATGCATATGTGATCCAGTTTTAGAAAATATTATGTCAACACACTAATTTTAGTACAAATAAGTTATATATTAATTACATGAGTTTTCATGTTTGTAAATATTAAATGTGGGTCTAGTTGAAAAACCTCCAGAAATAGCCAGGTCTCGTACTTAGACATTCCCTTCAGCACCCTCTGTTATTTGGTGAGGCACCCTAAGAAGGTATTTTTGCTACTCAAACCATACCACTCCTGTTTTAAAGCCCGTCAGCTGGCAATACTAGCACAGACACCAAACTCCCACTCTTGTCCCTCTGCCAACAACCAGGCATGGGAAATGTATGAAATGCATGATGGTAACTGACCTGACAATTGTAATATTCAGACAGTGTAGCTTTTCCATTCATAATATCTGAAATGAATTTTAGATGATGCTACTTAGAGTGGCACCTCAATTTTACATGTGAAGAAGCTGAGGCAGAGTAGTGACTTTGTCATGAATAGGATTCAGGTTCACAGTAGAATTCAGAGTAGAGCCTAATCTCCTTATTCTAGGCTTATGCTCTTTCCACTTTCAGAATAACAAGTAATTAATATTTAAAAGTTAACTCAAATATAAGATATGGAGATGTATTAAATGTAAAAGCACCAAGTTCAGGGGCCAATACATTACTGGATCGATCATAGTAGATAGATTGAATAAAGACAGAGATCTAATTCATTGAGCATTTCCTCTTCTCTCCTCAACAATATAACTTAAAAGTGGAGGCATCTACACTTAACCTTTCACTTCATCCATCACTGACTTACTGATATGTTAAGAGTGGACTTCTTGTGTGTCCTCTGACCTATCAGTGAAAAGGAAGTGATCTCAAGTAACCTCCCAACAAAAATATTTAGATATTTTCAAATATATTATCAGTTATAAAACATCTGAGAATGAAGAGCAATGGGCCGTGAATCAGAAGACTCTATTCCAGCATATCCACTGCTCTGTGACTATGTGCCCTTGATCAGTCAGCTCTACTTGGCCCCAGCATCCACAGCTCTAAAATAAAGAAGCTAGATTAGACAATTATATTACTCCTTTTATCACTAAACACCCATGAATTTCATGGTTTATTTCTCCTAGACTACTCTCTTTGTAGCATAAATCATGTTTAGCATGATAGTCACAACTTCCAGATAATTATTTTAAAGCATATTGAATACCATATTTACATTGTTCTATTCTCCCAAATCAAATAATATCTGGTCAAGATTCTTCACCAGCATTTCCAAGTCATAAAAGGATACAATCGTGGGAGCCTGTTTTATTGACTGCAGAAAAGATTATTCATTATTATGTAGGAGGACAGTGGAGTTGATTGCTCCTTAGCTGTCAGGAAACGACTCATCTAGAAGGCCTGGTGTATGGGGGTGGTGCAAAATGAAAAGTTTACTCATAAATACAAGTGATGCCTGGATAATGGAAGTTCAGTGACCAAAAGGCAAAGGAAGTGCTAATGATAGTCACCTAAACATTGTGTTCAGAGGCCAGTACAAGAAGTACAACAATGAGAGAACTGTGAGCTTTCTGCTTGAGTGAAGGGACACGTTACTTCGAGGCAACACATAAAAAAGGATACTGGAAGCAACCCTTAAATGGTCTGCCGAGGACAAACTCTAGACACCATCCAAAGAAAGAATTTATATCCATGCCCTATGGAAATTATTTGTCACTTAATAGCTGTTAGCCCTTTCATACCCACAGACAGCCATCACCCGTATTAACAAGATCACAAGTGCTAAGTAAACAAGCAACACTTCCCTTGGCAGGACAGGACAGCTAGTGTTGGGGTGAAATTTATTTAATTGGCATTTACTAACAGCTTCTTCAAAGGGTCTGAACTTATATCACAAAAGCAGGAAAGGCCAAAGTCTTGGCATAGTCAAGTATTGTTATGTTCAGTGAAAGCTCAAGGTAACAAATAGGAAGGATATTGCTCCATCATCTTCAGAGACCATCCATACAGTCTTGGAGTTATGAGTCTAAAGCATGAAAAACTATATGGAACTTTCTGCCACCTCAAAAATATTTAATTCGCCTCTATACTTACTGTACATAACAAATCATATCAGAACATCCATATGGAACACACTTTGAGCAACACTGGGCTAGAGCTTAGCATACCTGGTATAGTAGCTAGGAAAAAAGTTTGGAAAACTGACTGACTCAGTTATACAGGGACTTCTAGGCTAGTCTAAGAAAAACTACGTTTCCTTCTCTTTGGATAACAACAATAACAACCTATATAATGCTTATGTAAAGTGCCAGGCATTGCTTTTAAGATATTTTCATACATTAACCCCTACAATCCACTCAATAACCCAGTAAAATCGGTGTCATTATTATCTCTGTTTAACAGAAAAAGAAACTGAGGCAAATAAAGGTTAGGTAGAATATAACCAGTAAGCAGCCTGGGGTCTGACTAAATCAGTCAAACTCCAGGATTCCAGCACTTAATCCCTCTATGCTGTACTGTCTCTCAAAGGAAGAACAGAAAGCTTCATAGATGGCATGTTTCACCAGTCTTGACACATTTCTCACTGGAATCACTGGTTGTCTTTAAAAATGTCAAAAAAAATCACAGGAATTAATACCCTAAAGTTAATATTTGCTATTCTTTAAATAAGACAACTTATAAAATCCGACTTATTCTTAGTTTTGCTATCTTGTTTCTGTGCATACATATCAAATTAGATAAAAATCTAAATAAAGTTCAGAAAAGTTTATGTGCATTGACTCATTATAGATTTCAAGTTTTTTGGTTCTTAAAGACCATACTAGATCCCATTGTACCTGAATATTGGAGGATATTCTATTCAGGAAGGCGCTAAAAGAATGAATAGTAGAGGGGAATAATACTCCTAAGTGAACCAATGTTACACATTTCTTTCCTCATTGAATAGCCTCCCTCATTACAGTCATTATTCCACTCTTATAGCCAACAACATGTAATTCCTGATAATTTAGAATCTTCTTGGTTTAAAATGGAAAACATTTTATGCAGAGAAGAAATAGCAAGGGGTGACTTTTGCCAGATGTGATTGCTTAATTTACCACCAAGAACAAAAGGTTCTGGGATGTATCTTGCTTGCTCCTGATTCTCTTTGAATTCTGATTTTATCTCTGTCATATTTCTTCATGTTGGGAGATACTGGAATGAATATAGATAGTTTGGGAATATGGCTAAAGGGAAGTTGAACTGAAGAAATATTGAGTTTGTGCTTATATAAAATACATTTAAGAATTCCCAATTTTGTGAGGTTTGTGGCTTCTATCATTTTTAAAAGTGTGTAACTTTGTGATTTCTTCTCTCATTTTATATAAATATTTACATTCATACCTACTTTTAAATTAATAATTTTACTTTCTTTTCAGGCCCCACAAAATCTGTATCTGTTCCTGCTGCTCAATGTAAACATTTACAACTCTCCATACCATGTATATTTAATAAATATTTCTCTAAGCTTTCTCTCCTCCATTTCTATCACTCTGGACCCAGTCTAAAGCTTTATCCTATCCAGCTTAGACAATTAATAATCACTTCCTAACTAGTTTCCCTGCTTCCAGTGTTACCCCTTTCAAATATCTCTTCTGCACTGTTGCTACAGAATAATTTATCTAAAATAAACACACTCCAAAATCACCCCATCATGTGTAAAATCAAGTCTGATTCCCTAGCATGGTCTCATTCCTGATCTGGTTCTCACCCTTACAACCTGTTCTCCTTCCACTCCCCACCTCCGTCTCTTCTATGATCAACATTATTTAACTGCACATGGGTCCTAAACACAGCATTTATTTGCACATCTCTCAGCCCACTGCCTATCATGCTCATTCCCATATTCTTAGAATCTTAAACACACTTTGAGATTTACTTTTCAACAACATCTTTGCTTTGATTGAATCTCATATACATCATTTTACAATCATCTCTCTATATATTATGTCTTTATGTCCCTGCCCCCCACTTTAACACAGGCATCTTGGGGGATGAGCATGTGTCTTAGCTACCTTTGTGTGTGTAGCACCTAAGAGCATCTTCCATGTAACAGACACTTCATCAGTGCTTTGTGAACTTCCTGCTACATTCTTGAATAAAATTAGAAGGTACATGCCAGGAAAGTATTTTTGCAGGAGAAATTTCTGATAAGACTGAGTTCAGAAAGACATGCTAGAAGGAGATGCTTGAGGAAACTTAGGGACTTTGGTTATATTTCTAACTTTGAGTTAAGGACACCTTCTCTTTGGGAATCAGTGTTAGCTCAGGGGAGCCAGAGGAGTTAAATTAACCTTGAAAACAGAAGAAACAGACATGTGGTGACCAAGTGCTATTTTGAGATTCTAAAATGAGAGGAGTACCCACAGAAATTTGAAAGTAAAAACTGAAAAAATAATAATAAAATGAAAGAAAAAAGTCAAAGGAGAATGCTTACTTCAGCAGCACATGTACTAGGAAAAATATAGGAGTCCAAGAAGGAAAAGGTTAGTCTGTAAACATTCGTAAGTCCTGGTAAGCTCCACCCCATGACAAAGATCATGCATTGAGCAGGAGTTTCACCTTCACCATGCGGTTGAAATGAGAATGCAGGTGAATCAGATACACATAGTGGTTGGTTATTTTATTCCAGTTATAGAGGACTTAAAAATATTTTATTATTACAACTAAATGGGTAATTTTTGTTTCTGTTTTTTTAAATCTAGGACCAGTTATTACTCAAGTTTGTATTTCATAAAAATTGCACCAATGGCAGTTAACAGGATAACTCAGTAGCTGATGTTTAAGTATTGCTCTTGGATTCTAGGAAAGGTAAAATTTTACTCATAAAATGATCACATATGGCATGGCAATGTGGATTTTAAAGGGAGATTCTCATTCAAATGTCTAAAAATAAAATTATTTGGATTATCTTATTCACATCTTATGAGGCACAAAAGAAATATAATACAAACTTGCTGGACATCTGAGTTTTAACTATGCTAATTTTCTTAAATTCCTCTGCTCATTGTGAGTCTAGAAATTTTTCTCTATTTAAAGATACAGCCAATGTTATAAACATTTATTTAAAAAATATATTGTTGTGATCCCTCTGCTAAAGCAATTCAAATAAGCTGAGTTCTAAATAACTGGATAGAAACACTGCACAATCATCAAATTATTCATTACTTTTCTCTTCTAAAACACAGGTCTTTTCATTTGGCCACACAAATTCAATCATGTAGAAACTTTCTCAGAGGAGTAATCAATGTTAGGCATGTAAAAGATTTTTACAATATTTTTCATTTAACTGCCAATATTTTAAGAATGGTGCAACCCATTTTTACCATTTGTATATTCATACATCTAAAAGAAATATTATAAACACCTCAAAATAGAGTGTGGTGTGTTTAAAAAAAGTAGAGACACACCTGAGATTTGATCCTAAATTTACCCCTTTTCAGTCAGGTGACCTTTAGGAAGATATTTCATGTATCTGTCAGTTTCTTCAGAAGAAAAAATTAGGTTGAAATAATTCCTTCCCACAGAAGTGATAAAAAAATCAGATGACAAAGCACCTATAATATGCTTAGTATAATACTTGACAGACCTTCAAGTATTATACCTCCAAGTATAATACTTGGAGACCTTCAGTGATTCTCAATGCCCTCCCATAACCAAGCGAGATAGCAGTTTTTTGTTTGTTTTAGTTTCAAAATTGCATCTTTAGTCCTTATCAACCTTGGTTCCTAACTGTCTGTAATTTACAATGTTCAGCCTAATATTCTCATTTGCCTCTAGGCTATTTCAAAAGAAAAACAAAATTATTGCACCATCCATGATTTACTACAGAAAACAATTCTGTTGCCCATTTGATGTTGGTTCTCTCTAGACCCTTTGCTGACTGTTAGGTGAACTAGTTCCAGGTGTTCGTGTACTTTAAAAAGGAGATTAAACTGGATTTCCTCCTCTCACTACCATTAGAAATTAGTTTGTGTAAGTTTGACTTTCATGGTTTTGTTGGTCTTTGGAAAGAATTCAGGATTTTTAGGAAAAATGAAAGATCTCCAGGGTCCTAGGCAATGTACCAGCAACCCCCGAAAGAGCAGCTGCTCTCAGGTGGTACAATAAGAGGGTTTGGTTTCTATGTTCCCCTTAGCTTTCCACATGGAAGTTATATAAGTTGAAACCACTAAACCAGTTCAATGAAACCCAAACTGCTGAGTTCTGTACTGCTTTAAAAGAGGCCTTCTGTTTCCTAACCAGCATGAGCTTGGGAAACTTTCCATTTACTTGGAGAGCTGTCACGTAAGCTGCTCGACCAGTTTCACTCAAAGATTCAACACAGATTGACTGAAATAGTGAAGCAAATCCAATTACTTGACTGCTTCATTTCACTGTTTAAAAAATGTTATAACTTGTCAAAAAAAATCGAAGAAGTATTCTTTAATATCCTTTCTTCCTTCCAAGGGCTCTAAGGAGCTATTGTTAAAAGGCTCAGACTTGCTCATCTTTTTATTCCAACAGCACTCAAAAGGCACTATAACACACAGTAGGCACACAGATCTATCTGTCCCCATTTTCATTAAAGCTGGATTCATAGCCTTAAACTCACATATCACATTAGACTTTTTATAATCCCAAGTCTATGGAAAGAACACATGAATTTCACACAGTAAGAAAACAGTTTACATAATAGATTGCACTGCAAAGATCTACACCATTGCTGAGGTACAGTTTCAATTTGATTCACTGCTTACTGGGCTTATATTATTGTTGGTATTTGGAAATTTGGAAGATATTGGATAGTTAAAACTTTTTAAGTAATACATCAAATCTATTTTTACAGTAACAACAATTATATCCACTTTTTGCTAATACAAAATAGTCTTTTTAATAAAAAATTTTTCTACCTTTAACAGATCAGAAACTTTTGAATGCCAGGGAAATATCTTATTAAATCCAGACTGCCTGATGCAAAACTAGTGCAACACACTGCCTTAAGGACAATATCCTTTAAAGAGAAATCATGCTTTATGGAGAGCTTGGATGCTGGAAACTGGACTGAGTGCTTTCCCTACATTATCTCTTTCAAATCTCTCAGCAATTTGAACCAGGTAACATTACCAACCTGTACTAAACTAGAAAAAGGGACTGATAAATAACTTATCAAGCTTCAGAAGTATTAAGTGAGGAAGTAAGAGTTTGAGTGCTACTTGACTCTACTATCTTCCTCAGATACCTCCCAGCTCTTGCGATACCTTGTACTTTCTTTGAACTTATTGTCTGTCCCGTGAATTCAATAAATAAATAAGTTTGTGTTCTTTAAGAAAAGTAACTCCTTTGAAAATGTTTATTTAACAGTTACTTATTATACATCCATTATGTAAAGCACTTGCAATTCATATATTCATTTATTCTCTGAATCTACTGATGACCTATTAAGCCAGACATTATGTTGAAGCATACATTAGGTATTCTCTCTCTCTCTCTTTCTCTCTCTCTCTCTCTCTCTCTCTCTCTCTCTCTGTGTGTGTGTGTGTGTGTGTGTATTTCAAAGAAAAAGTAAAATAGATTCTTCCTCTGCAAGTTATTCATGACCTAGGAAGAGAGGAGCAGGAAAACAACATGCTATATGTTGTGATTAATGCTGTCACAAAGCCCAGAAGGAGCACGTAGGAGACACAGCTACCTTTGACTTCATCCTGCAACTGGACATGCTTCCTATAGGACATTGAGCCCTGTCTTGAGAACTCAGTAGGGTGAGGCAAGTGAAGAAATAAGTTAAAATGTTCCGACCACTGGGTACAGCATAGGCAAAGACAGTGTGTTGTGGACATTGCAAATGGTTCTATATACCTGGGTCTTAAGTTGGAGAAAGAGAAAGAAGGGAAGAGGTCAGTAAATTGTCATGATGAAAAGCTTGAGGCTAGTATAACCATTGTTGGCCTTGGATAGCGTGTGGAACAAGCTAATATCAAGAGAGATTGTCCACACAAAGAAAGCGATCATTTGATCATTGACCAAATGCTGTACCATTTTTGCACATCTTTGAGTACTGGGTGCTAAAAAAAAATCAGAGGCCAACGATGAATTGAGTCTTCATAAACAATATTCCACTAAGCAGGAAGCAAGCCAACAGTTTATCTTTGGGTCCTCATGCTTTTTAAGCTACTTTGCTTAGCATGTTTGCCCAAGAAATAACTAGCTGTCACCACCCACTCCACCTGTTTACAACACCTTTGTATGGGTTAGTTCTAGAAAAGGAATTATTCTATTCAACAACAAATAATTTGAAGACACGTCCAGCTGCTATCCACTCCTAATCTTACCAATTCCAGAAAAGATGAGCTAAAAGGTTTTTAAAAAGATGGGGCCACTAAGTTCAGTCCCATCAGATTTTAAGCTAAATTATCAAGTGAATAAGATATGATTTTATCTTTCCTACTTCCTTTTAAAAGCCTTCCTCTCACTCCCCTTTCTTAATACTTTAGGCTAAGGGCTGACATTTCAAATGGCCTCTATATAACACTTGAATTCTTCTGTAAACCTGGCACCAAATTGAAAATACTTTCTTTATCTTTGCTCTCTTGATCAAAAACTTTATTTCCTAAGCAAAGCCACTTCTTTAAAACTGCATTCAAGACAATCTCAAACATTGTAGGATTACATTTTCATGCTGTTCTAGAAATGTAACCACTTTTATTCCCAGCCTTTCATCAAACCTCTTACCCACCTTTTATTTTCTAGCACCCTGTGCTTTAGCATAGTCTTCTTATTATAAAACAAACCGAAAGCAAGCAACCTTTTTTCCTTAGGTGCTTGGCTTATAAAAGAGAAGTGTCACCTGTCATTTTAATCCCCTAATGGAGCAAAGAATTGTAACATCCAGCCTACTCCCACTGCATAGCCTTTCTCTTTATGAGTGGGAAGAAACATGTATTTGTGCCTCCAGCCCCCTTCTTCCTGGTGGGTTTGGAAGGGGAGAGAATTGAGCATCACTGTAAGAGACTTTGAAGTGGTTCCTCTAAATAAGGTTCTTGTTTTTTTCTTCAACAGTAGTCAGGGCCTAAGTATCCTGGATGTCCTCTGCTAACAGGTTTATGCATTAGGAGTTGGGCATAGACATAAGCCTATATCAAAAGGCAATCTTTCTGCCAATACAATAGTCGTCCTCATTGAAAAAGCTAAAAGATAAACAGAATCCTAAGAGCAACCAGTGTTCAGATGCTGCAACTATATTCTCTAACAGAAGGACCATTCCATCCTCCATCACTAAGGTACCAGTTTGGATGCTGACGGAGGGAAAGGAATGCAGAATCCCAGCTTCTTCCTCCCAAATACCCATTCCTAAAGGGACAGAATCTGAAACCACAAACTTTTCTCTCAGGTGTCCACCAAAATGGATCAGAATACATTGTCAGTTATAAAAAGCAATAATCATTTGTGCCTATATACAACTGCATAACAACCAGTACTATAAAAGATATATGAAAGTAATAGCCACTGTGAATTGAATACCAATTATTAAATACCTTACAGTTGTTATTTCTAACCCTTTCTTAAAGTCTGCAAGACAAGAGAAATTATTTACCATTTTCAGAGGCAGAAACTGAGGCTCAGTGACTATATGACATTTCTGGGTCACAGTTAAATGAAGCCAACACAATTTAAATCTGTGTTTATCTGGCTTCAGCATACATATATGTATGTACATGTGATTATAGATCAGTGGATAGATGGAAAGATTTTAGATATATAGAGATACAAGAGAAATTAAGAGAGTGAGAGAAGTAACCAACATTGTTGGTGAACATCTTAGTACAGTCACTAAGAATGGGAAAACAGAACATATTTTTCTGTGTATTATACTGAAACTGAATAATAAGAATACTGTTAGACAGGTCAGTTACCATTTGTTCTCTGTGTCTTGAAAAGCAACCAATCTGTCTGCTTTAGGCAGGGACCTGATTCCAACAAGAAAGGTATTGGCATTTCACAAATTATGAACTATTTTACTTAAAGATACACTAAGAAGAAAAGCAACAAGACAGGAAAATATTAAAAACGCAAATGTTGATTCTCTTCATCTAGGCGCTCAATCAAAACAATAACTAATTATCTGTCCACTTTTTAAAATTCTGCCATGTGTACGCTATAAAAAAATAAATAACAACTCTCCAAGCCCATGATAAATTATCAGTTTTATTCAGGTAATAAGAACATAAGTAATTGTTTCATAGAGGATGCACTAAGAGGTAGAAATAAAATTCTGTGGGATTCCAGGGGAGTCGCAATAAAACTACTCCTGAGAGAATAAGGAAAAATTTTACTGAATAGGACTTCAGAGATACACACAACTTCATTTTGTTGTTGTTGTTGTTGTTGTTGTTGTTGTTGTTTAAAATAGGAGTGAAAAGATGTCATAAAAGTAGAAGATAATTTTCACCTGGACATCAAGCTGTCTTGATTCATGACTTTATTACTCAATGCCTGCTTAGAGGCAGGTATCTACCACCTGACTTCGTCTTTCAACCTTAAACTACTCCAATTGCTCACAATCTATTGCCACCATCCTTAAAGCAATACCTTCACCAGTTTCCTCCCTTTTCAAGAACCTATTTACAAAACAATCTCAAGTATTTTTTCTCAAGTATTTTTTCCTGTCTAAAGAAAAGCACCAAACTGCTGCTCTCCTCTTGCTGTACAAAATCCTACAATTTCATTTCCTATTTCTACCATCTCAGATATCTTGCAGATATCTTTTTTCCTCCATATTTTCCACTATTCCTAGGTACTAAATCCTTCCCCTTGAACTTTAAGAATGCGGACAGTTGCCAATTTTAAAACAAAACAAAAAGGATGTTTCCTCCACTCCCACTTTAATACTTGGTTCAATATCATTTCGTCATGGAAATCTCCGATTCTGCACTCTGCATAACAAGACCCCCAGCTATGTGGTTCTATGGCTTCAGTTGTCTTCCTGCCAAACACATACATAATCATTAAATTATTGTGTTATTTCTCAATGAATGCTTATATAGTTACATTTCATGTTGTCTATTTCTATTTACCACTGAAATTCCAAAACCTAGCGTAATGACTGGCACAAAATCAGAGCAACTAGACATTTTTAAAAAATATATAACTGGCTGTCCAACTGACTAAATAAATGAATCCTATCCACTGCACAT